CTCCTCACAGTAATATGATTGGCTGGTGTCAGCCATAAATACAGACTGGTGTGGAGGTACAGGGACTACGCCTATTGTCTTCGCCTATTGCCTAAGCCTATTTCCTACCAGTACGACGAGGACCAGCCCATTACGGTTACCTTTCTAGATTGTCCTACCCGGTTCGATTAGTCAACAACCACTTTGCTACTTCGAACAAATATATCTTTTTCTGGGACATATCACGATATATGACTGACAAGACAGATTTTTTCTGCGGTAGACCAGTTGCCATGAAAGGCTGTAGAACCGGATCTATCCTGCTACTTATCCATAGCTTGAGGTGGGGGGAGAATGAAGAAGAGGATTCATACTTCTCCCAAGTGAATGTAATGGATTCGACTGGAATTCGAACACGGCTCTCCAAGCTGCTATCCATTACGCCACTGTTCCCCTTTAAAAAAGAGTATCTTAGAAATATTTATTGAAATGTATGCAGATCGGTATTTGTGTCGTGTTTTGCGTCAAAGAGTTCTGGAGAGGTTCGAGGAATATTGCAAGGTTAAAGGAGGACATTTTGAGTACTTGAGAGATTGAAATTGTATTTAAAAATGTAAGTGTTAAACAAATGTATATAAAGAGTTTAAACATATATGACTGTAAAAAAAGAAATATAAATGTAATAAAAAGTTTTTTTTTAAATGTAGAGGACACATCTAATAAGCCTATTTTTGGCCAAAGCTATATATACAGTTACTGCTTCCCTGAAAATCTGTTCTGAATCGTTAAATAAAAAATTGCAATAAACTAAGTATTTAATTAGATGATGTAATGAATATGCATACACCTGGGTTCCCCCTCATAGTAATATGATTGGCTGGTGTCAGCTATAAATACAGACTGATGTGGAGGCACATGGTCTACGCCTAATGGCTACGCCTATTGCCTACCACTACGACGAGGACCAGTCCATTACGGTTACCTGCTAGATTGTACTACTCGGTTACAGTAGTCCAAAACCACTTTCCTACTTCGAACAAATATATCCCTTTCCGGGACATATCATTAGATAATCTTTTAGTTGCTTTTATAAACAATATATATTAAGGATATTATAATCTGAAGAAAAATATTTTTTTCGATGAATAATTAATTACAAAAATCGTTTTCAATTTTTATTATAATAATTTATAAAGTTTCATAATTTTTAAAAAATTCTTCCAAACTTGGTAGGTTATTAAGTGAAGACTTTATTTACTAAGCAAGAATAGAAAAGCCCAATGCAAAACATCACGCACTAAGATTTTTCAAATAATTTTCAATATTTTTTGTTTTGTTTTGTTTTTTTATGCGTATAAACGTGTTCATTTTGAAAGTATGGGTTATATACACGACATTATCTGAAAATAAAATCGATGGCTATAGGAAATTTAAAGTCACCATTCCTAAAATTAGATTACGGAAAATATTCCCAACATTTTTAAGATTACTGAGTAACTTAAAAATTATATTTAAAAATCATTAAAACGTAGTCATTGCGTTTATTACTTGATTTTTTTTATTTGTTTTGTCTGTTTCTAATTTTAATTTTCTATCCCTATCTTATTTTTGGTTTCTTTTTCTCGTTATTTTCTTCTTCTTGTTGTCCTTCGTCACCTCCTCCTCCTCCTCCTCCTCCTTCTTTTATTTTTCTTCTTCTTCTTCCTTCAATTCTTTATCTCCTCCTCCTCCTCCTTCTTCTTCTTTCTACTTGTCTTCTTCTCGTCCTTCGTCACTCCTCCTCCTCCTCCTCCTTCTTCTTCTTCTTCTTCTTCTTCGTCTTGTCCTTCGTCATCTCCTCCTTCTTCTTCTTCTAAAACTACTACTTTCTCCTTCGTCTTCCTCCTTCTTCTCTTCTTCTTCTTCTTCTTCTTCTTCTTGTCCTTCGTCACCTCCTCCTCCTCCTCCTTCTTCCTTTTCTTCTTCTTCTTCTTCTTCTTTTTCTTCTTCTTCGTCTTGTCCTTCGTCATCTCCTCCTCCTCCTCCTTCTTCTTCTACTACTACTTCTCGTCCTTCGTCACCTCCTCCTCCTCCTCCTTCTTATTCTTCTTCGTCTTGTCCTTCGTCATCTCCTCCTCCTTCTTCTTCTTCTACTTCTACTTCTCGTCCTTCGTCACCTTCTCCTCCTCCTCCTTCTTCTTCTTCTTCTTCGTCTTGTCCTTCGTCACCTCCTCCTCCTCCTTCTTCCTTTTCTTCTTCTTCTTCTTCTTCGTGTCCTTCAAAAAAAAAAAATTCCTCCTCCTTCTCCTCCTCCTTTTCTTCTTCTTCTTCAAAAATAAAAGTCTTTTTCCTCCTTATATCTTCCTCCTCCTCCTTCTTCTTCTTCTTCTTCTTCTTCTTCTTCTTCTTCTTCTTCTTCTTCTTCTTCTTCCTATTTCTTCTTTCTCCATCTTGGTTTTCATTTTGTTTCTTTTCTTCATTTCTTTTGCATATTTTCCGTCATCTCTCAAATATTTTTTCTTTAACATTCTTTTTTTTTACATTTATAATTTACTTAAAACTACTTAAAATACTATTCTTTCTTTCACTTCTAAATTTTTAACTTCCGTTCTAGTTCATTTTTCTTCATATCTCTTTTCAAAAACTCTTTCATTGTCCATATTTTGTTCTCTAAAAATTTTCCAATCCTTTCTCATTTAAGCCTTTTTTTTCTCTCTTTTATCTTCTTTCTTTCTTTCTTTCTTTCTCTTTTCTTTCTTTATTTCTTTTTTTTTCTTTTTTTTAGTTCTTTTTTAATTTCTTATCTGAAAATCTCTCTTTTTTTCTGTCCTTTCCTTCTCTCTCGTTTCTTTCTCGCCCTCCTTTGATTCCCTTTTCAATTTCTCTATATAAATCTCCCCTCTCCCTGATTTCTTTTAATAAATAAATTTTTTTATTCTTTCTACCTTTTTCATGTCTTTTATTGATGAACACGTTCTCTCTTAAAATTCGGATATTCTTTCTCTACCTTTTCTCTCATCCTTCATATTTTTCCTTTCTCTCTCATTTTCCTTCTCATTTTTCTCCTTTTCGTGTCTCTCTCAAAACTAAATCTCTCTCTTTTAAATTGATCCATTTCTTCACTTTCTTTTTTCAATTCTAAACCTTTTCTTATTTCATTTTCTAGCATTCCTTTCCAACTTCTTTTTTCTCTTAACAAACTTGTTTCTCTTTTATACCCTCTTCTAAAATTAAAATATCTCTCACATTTTCACACACACACATTGTCGTTTTTTTTTTTTTTTTCCCTATATCTCGATTTCGTTTGTCTCTTCTTTCTCTATATCCATTGTACTTCCCCTCTCTCGTTACCTTTTCTCCTATTTTTTTCCTTGTTTTTTAAAAATTACCCCCTTCTGTCTACTTCCCCCAAAACAAAATTCTCTCTTTTCTAGAGTTAAAATCCTTCATTGTCAGATTATTCTCAACTAAAAATTTTATTTCTATCTATTCATTCTTTATCTCGCTCATTTCTCTCTCTATCCCTTCTTTTACTTTTTTGTTTCTCTCTCCTTTCTGTCACGTGTTTGTTTTATCTTTCCTTTCTCTTTCTTTTTTGTTTTCTCTCTCTCTCTCTCTCTCTCTCTCTCTCTCTCGATCTTTTCTTTCTTTTTCACTCTCTGTTTCTCATCTCTTTTTCACTCTCTCCTTTCTTACTCACTCATAATTCTTTTCTTTCATTCTCTCTCACTTTATATAACTCCTTTACCTTTATCTTTTTTCCCTTTCTTTCTTTCTTTTTTTCTTTCTTTCTTTATTTATTTATTTATTTATTTATTACCCCCTCTCTTTCCTTTTCTCTCTTATTCTCCTATATCTCACTTCGTCTCTTTTGTTTTCTTTTTCTTCTCTCTAGAAACCTTTTCTTGAATCCCCTTTCATAATTTGTTCAAAACATGTTTTTTTTTCCTTCGTACCCTTTCATTAGAAAAACACATTTTGTTTAATTTTATCTCGACTCTGATAATTTCTTTTATTTTTTTCCAATTTCGTTTGATTTTTGTCGAAGAAAAAGCTTAAAAAATGATTTCATCCACATAATTTTAGAATCTGTTAAACACGTATTTTGAACGAGATCTCGTCTGAACGTTATCAGCCCCTCCTGCTTCTGATTAAAATAATAATAATAATAATAATAATAATAATAATATAAAGAAAGATATACAAAAAAATAAATGGAAATAAATCAATGTATAAACGAAATAATTTTAAATAAAAATAAGAACAGCAAAGTCAGGACCAAGGTGGGACAAAGGACAAAAAAATAGGAGGAAAAAATAGAAATAAATGTAGCTTCTTCAAAAATATTCTTTTTCACAAGAAAGAAGTGACAAAAAAACGCAGATTTTTTTTTTTCTTTGAGAGAATCGGACAAGAATCAAAGAATTTCGAAGACAGATCCAAATTAATGATGCGTTGCAGACAGTGAAAAGAGGATAAAAGACAGGAGCCGTTAGATTAGAAGAACTGAGTAAATGACAAGGGCGGTGACAGTGAAAGGGGTGAACTGAAATCTGGCATGGGACAAGGAGCGTGGAAAAGGCGGCGACGAACGAGAATGGGTGGAATGGAGGAGGATTTAAGAAAATTGAGGAAAAAAAAATTTAACACAAATGAAAATTCCTGGGGATTTCCAAGCAAGAAGAAGGAGAAGTCGAATGACAAAAAGCGAAATGAAGAAGAAGAAGAGGAAGTTGAATGACAAAAAGCGAATTGAAAAAGAGGAAGAAGTCGAATGACAAAAAGTGAAATGAAGAAGAAGAAGAAGAAGAAGAAGAGGAAGAGGAAGTCGAATGACAAAAACGAAATGAAGAAGAAGAAGAAGAGAAAGTCAAATGACAAAAAGCGAAATGAAGAAAAAGAGGAAGTCGAATGACAAAAAGCAAAATGAAGGAGAAGAAGAGGAAGTTGAATGACAAAAAGCGAATTGAAGAAGAAAAAGAAGGGAAAGTCGAATGACAAAAAGCGAAATGAAGAAAAAAATACGAAAGAAGGAATGGAAATCAAAGGAAAAAGTTAAATGAAGAAGAAGAAGAAGAGAAAGAAATGAATTCAAAAAGAATAGAAGAAGAAGAAGAAGAAGAAGAAAAGAAGAAAAGAAGAAGAAGAAGAAGAAGAAAGAAATATTTCCAATGGAAAGAAGAGGAAACAAAAAAATGAAAAGAAGAAAGCGGGAGACTAAAAAGTAAAATAAGAACAAAAAAAAAACGAAGAAATATTGAACACAAAAAAGGAAAATACCAAATAATTGAATGAATATGAACTTTAAAAATAAATAAATGCAAGAAAATGATTATGTGAAGAAAAATAACCCGAACAAGGAAATATGAAGGAGCCCGATGGAAAAGAGGATATAAAACAATGGTAAGAAAGAGAAAACAAAGACCAAAAGTCGAAGGGAAAAGATTATAAGATAAGCGAAAAAAGAAAAGGATAAGAATAAAAAAGGACTGTAAAATGAAGATGAATAGCTAACAGAGAAAAAAGAAAAATAAATGAAAAAGTGAGAGCTTAGAAAAGAAGAATAAAAACTAGAGCGCTTAGAAAACTAAAAGGAGGCCGAGAAAGGAAAACAAAATGGACGAAAAAGCGAAGGAGATGAGAAAATAAGAAATAGAAAAAAAGTCAACGCATTGAATAAAAGAAAAATATCGTCAAAAAAAAAAAAACCGTAAAAATAGGAATTGCTTAATAATGGAGTGTATTATTCTTTCACTTCTTTTAATTCAAGGGGAATAAATATACCTTAGTACGGAACGACAACAAAGAGTCAATCAGCAGACGACCCGAAAAAGTATAGCTTGAAATATAATAAAATAAAAATTATAGAACCTTGTTCTGTGACGTGGTTTGTCGGCTGACGTAGACTTTTTTGTGGTGTTCTTTAGTGAAACCAATGCAAACTAGTTAAGTTTCCACCAAATACGGATATTTGAGCAAAGCTATACCGCCATTTTTGTTCGTCTGCCATTCGCTCGGTCACATTTTTTGTTCTTTTACTATTTAGAGTGTTTTATTTTTATATCAGTTTTTTTTTTTTATTCGGATCGGTCTTCTTTTTCGAAGTTTTTGTTTCTGTGTCTTAAGACCTTCTCGGGGATATTGTGTATTTTTAGATCATCTATTCTTCAGGACGTAGACGATCATGGCCCTCCACTTCCCACTATCTCTCAATAAGTTTTGTCCCTTTGCTACTTCCCCCAGGCCACGTTTTGTCACCCACTTGCTTAACCCCGCTAGTTATGCCATGCGTTGCTTTCCCTTGTCTCTCTTTCCCTCTATTTGACCTGTGAGTATCAGATTCTCCAAGTCCTCCTTTTTCATTACGTGTCCCAGAAATTTCAGCTGCCTCTTCCTGATGTTAAGTATAAGATGCAGCCATATTCTCGTATCAATGATTCAAAATGGCACCAAGCGAATGAAATCTCGTAGAAAATACTTACGTTCCCGGAGATCAGCTGTGTTAGCACTTCTAACTGAATTTGTCTATCAGAACGGCAAAATTCGGTCTGTGGCTTTAGCTATCTCGAGGGCGGTTGACAGGTTTTGCTATGCTGTCCTCCTTCGCAAACTCAAGGACTACAATGTCTCTGGACAAATATTTAACTTAACCTAATCCGTAACAAATCGTCTAGTGAAGTCCATGTTGAACAGCCATGCGTCTAGATCATTTCAAATTAATGCTAACTCCTCCAGGGCAATATCTTTGGAGCTAAGTTGTTTGTTATATTCATCAACGACCTATTTGATATCATCATATCCTAGCTAGGCATTTATGTTAAAGGCAGAACTATTTACTCATGTCTTTAGCAAGTCCGATAGGTCAGACAAAGTAAAACTTGCATTTACTCTTGAAAAAGATCATCAATCAGTTGTTAAAGGGAGCAAGAAATGGCTTGTAAATTTTAAATGCTCCAAAAGGAAACTGCTACCTTTCAATCATCATAGAGAATGTATTGAATGGCCACGCTTCTAGATCATTTCTCATCAATACGAGGATACCTCAAAGCTTTAACCTTGGACTTACCTTTTTCTTATCTTCACCAGTTACTTTCCTAATGTCATTGGTCCCCAACTCTGTATATATGTTGATGACACAACTATTTATCGGGCTTAAGTTTAATCAGTTGTTAACTGGGGCAAGGAATGGCTTGTTAACTTTAACGCCTCCAAAACATAGAGAAACATTTTTCTGCCTGACATCCTCATGGCCGATGCTAACCTCGGTCTCACGTTTCCACTGACATGAAGTAGAGTGATTATGTTGAATCAGTTACTAGGACTTCTGCTAGGAACGCTGGTTCACGGTGTCGTGCCAGGAAGTGTTTCCAGTCAAAATCTATCTTGCACGTTTATAAATCTACCATTCATCAGGGCATTAGATATGTTTGCCATTCTTGGTCTGGTTTTTCCTCGAGGTTCTTGACAGAATTTAAAGAAGAGTCTGTAACGTTATCGGTCATGATCTGGCATCTCTTCTTCAGTCACTTTCCCACCGCTGTGACGTGTCTCTTTCTCTTTTTTCTATAAATATTTTCATTGCAATTGTTCTATTGGGTTCTCCTCTTTCTTGTAAATAGTTTTGTATTCAGATTGTAAATGCTCATTGGGGCTAGTTTTTAAATTGTTACTCCATTCCTCTCTCCCACAGACAATGTGAATTGTACATATTGGGATTAGTTATGATTTTCATAGAGACAATGAGGTATTATGGTGAATGTAGTAAGAAAGGTAAGTAAGAGTACGTTGTTTTGGTTTTAGGAATATTGTTTGTATGTTTGGGTCAGTGTTTGTGGCTAGCTAAGTTTAAAGTTAAGGCAGATGAAGACCGTCCTTATCCCCCATTCCCCATTTTGGCCTTGTGCCACATTTTCTGTATTTGAAGCGGAAATAAATATTGCTACCCTTCTTGCTTTCGGGTGTGATTTTCGTATTTGCTGTTGTGTTTGAATGAGTGTGTGTTTGAGTGAGTGTTTGGAATGTGTGAATGTTTTATATTATTAGAGTCTCGCACTGATTTCGTCCAGTTAACTGATGTTTCTGCCACATTTAAGGGGGGGGGTTATTACTAACATTATTTTGTTTGGTTTCTTGTAAATAGTTTTGATTTCATATTGTAAAAACACAATGGGGGGGTAGTTTTTAAATTATTCTTTTATTTCCCCACCACCACCACAGACAATGAAATGTACATAAGGGGACTAGTTAAGATTTTCATAGAGACAATGAGGTATTATGGTGGATGCAGTAAGAAAGGTTAGATCGAATGTGTCGTTTTGGTGTAAGGAATATTGTTGTACATTTGGGTCAGTGTTTGTGGCTAACTAAGTTTAATGTTAAAAAAGAAGCCCGTCCTTTTCCCAATTTCCTCCCTTTGGCCTTGTGCCACATCTCTGTACATATCAGAATAAATATCGCTCTTTGCTCTGGTACTTTTAGTGAGGGATTGGAATGTATGAATGTTTTATAGTATTAGAGTCCCGCATTAATTTCGTCCAATTAACTGATGTTTCTGCCATATTTAAGGATTGTGGGTGTCTATTACTAACTTTATTTTATTTCGTTTCTTGTAAACAGTTTTGTTTTCATATTATAAATACTCATTGGGGTTAGATTTTAAATTGTTGTTTTATTCCCCACCCCGCACAAACAATGAAAGAAAGTTAAGTAAGAATGTATTGTTTTGGTGTAAAGAATATTGTGGTATGTTTGGGTCAGTGTTTGTGGTTAGCTAAGTTATCGTTAAGAGCGAAGAAGCCCGTCCTTTTCCCTATACCCCATTTTGGCCTTGTGCCACACTTCTGTGTATATATCAAATAAATATCCCTCTCCTCCTTGGCACCTCGACTGAATGCACTACTAGATTGCCAACTAGGTCCCATTGTTTTACAGTTGAAATAGTTGGGTCTATCCGTAAGCTCTACTCTAAAGTTTTTTTTCTCGCACTTCTCACCTGTAGAACTCTCTTGTAATTCCTTGCGTTCCTGCTACCTACGATCTCCAAAAGGTTATATGCAACGTCAATCGCCATCTTCTGCCTTCATGAAATCTGTTCTTATATCAATGTCTTCTCATTCTCTATCACTCTTAGTAACGTCCTGCGTCTTCATCGCGTTAACGATTTGTTTGGAGTGAAATGACTTTTAAAAATGTTCTTATAAACTGGCGCTACAGATTCGCAACGATCTTTATCAAATAACAAGAAAACACATCACTTGAAGACTTCCAACAGCCGCAACAACTAAAATGGGTATCACATGTACCTAGAAGCGAAAATAATGATATAAGCAAGATGTTGGCTTACCACACTACCAAAAACAAAAACTACATCCGCGTCCTGGGTAAGACGATAAACTACGTCCAACAGCAAGGCATCTGATCAGAAGGTTTTGAGGAACGTGGAACCACCTCTTAATTGCTGGTGTTCCCAGGTCCACCCTGACCCGGGGTGGTAGCGCCTGTTAGGGTCCTAGTTATGGGCAAATAGTTAACCCCAAACTGGGGTCGAAACATTATGAAAGTTTACAAATAGATTTTAATACCAGCAATACATTTTTGTAAAAAAAATATTACTAGCAATGAATATTTGAAGGAAAAAAAGATTACCAGAAATACATTAAAAAAAAATATTACCAACAATAAAAATTTTGTCGACATTAAATAACCCATTGAGGTTGATATGCCGTAAAACAAAATAAACCTAACCAATCTAAACCAAAGAATACATATTCTATTCATACGAATCTATCCAAAAAATCTTGTCGGCATTAAGTAACACACCGAGGTTGATATGCCGTAAAAGAAAATGAATCAAACCAAAGAATACATATTCTATTCATACGAACCTATTCTAAAAATCTTGTCGGCATTAAATAACCCATTGAGGTTGATATGCCGTAAAAGAAAATGAATCAAACCAAAGAATACATATTCTATTTTGTGCATTCGTAAGTAGAATGCGCCCGAGGTTAGGAGAAAAGCTCAAGAACTGTCGTAAAATTCTTACGTAATATTTAGGATTGTGACGAACAAAATAACTTGATCGCTTTTCTGTTACCCTATTTAGAGGAAGACATTATTATCTAGTTAAAAAGACAGTTCATTACTAATATAGGGAAATCCACACTGGATGCTCGAAATCCGTGATCTTGTACCAGACAAAATTGACAACGCCTAGAAGATAGAGTAGTGTGTTACTTTATCACTAGGAGTTTCAAAGTTGTAACACTCTGTCAGACAAAGCATAGCTTAAACAAATTATTAGTGTCAAATTCTCCACGATCTTTTTTTCCTCGTTATGTGTAACAGAAATGTCTATTGTCTCTTTTTGTTTTTTTTCATAAAATACATCTACTGAATGCTTCATCAGTGATGTTTCTAGCCGAGGTCCTTTAGGGGTTTCGGTTCTTTCAATATGATACCCACCTCTTTGCGGGTCACCCAGCCGATACTGATCGGGTATCGACTTGTGTTCTCTTCTCTCTCTCTCTCTCTCTCTCTCTCTCTATCTATCTATCTAGCTAGCTAGCTATTTATCTCAGCCTCTTCATTATCCCTCTATATTATTCTCTTTTTCTCTCTTTCTCTCTCTTTCTGTTCTATCTATCTATCTATCTATCTATCTATCTATCTATCTATCTCAGCTTCTTCATTATCCCTCTATCTATATTATTCTCTTCGTTCTCTCTCTCTCTTCCTCCATCTCTCTCTCTCTCTCTCTCTATATATATATATATATATATATATATATATATATATTCGATGCTTTAGTAAACATCATCAGTGATGTTGCTAGACAAGGTTCAATAGGAGTTTCAGGTCATTCAACATTACACCCCCTCTCCACGCTGATCCAATCGATACTCATCGAGTATCGATTTGTGTTCTCTTCGTTATCTCTCTCTCTCACTATATATATATATATATCTCTCTCTCTCTCTCTATCTATCTATCTATCTATCTATCTATCTATATATATATATATATATATATATATATATATATATATATATATATATATATATATATATATATATTTCGTAAAATATATCTATTGGGTGCTAATCAGTGTTGTTTCTAGCCGAGGTTCATGAAGGGTTTCAGGTCTTTCAACATCATATCCACCTCTTCGCGGGTGATCCAGCGGATACTGATCGGGTATCGATTTGTGTACCTTCCGTTAGCTACAGTTTATTCCATCCACCCGATTACTCTTGACAATTTATGGTCCAATCCGGGTGGCGTAATAGTTAATTGCTTTAAGTTAAATGACCGTTGGTTTCGTTATATTCATGAATCCACCTCTTCTCCTCAATGTATTTGTTAATTAGTTAGACTTTTATCACTAAACTATTCTAAAATAACCCTCTCCTCCTAGAAAAAAAAATCACACAATCTAAATGTCTTTTCTGGCTTTAAATAACTCGTAAAGGGTTGATAATCCGTAGAAAACGAATCACTCAATGAATCTACTGATTAAGCGGAAGAAATTAAAATAAGAAATTAGTAAGACTTGTAAACCATTATTATCGCTAAAATATATCATTAAAATCTAGAAATAGATTCTGGCTTTAAATAACCTGCAAAGGGTTTATAAGCTGTGGGAAACGAATCAATCAATGAATAAAATACTGATTAGCTACAAACACATGTCTTTTAAATTAATTCATATTAATTTATATTCTCTGTAATATAAATGTAAAGAAAATATCGTGGCCACGAAGTGAGGGGTCATTTTATATATTTATTCCCCGTATTACAATTTCTTGTTTTTTTTATTAAATTTGATTAGGTATGGATCCCAATTTTCCCACTTGCTATAGGTTAATTAGTAAAACTTTTATTAATAAACCATTACTATCTCAAAAGAAATTCTCAAAATCTAAAACTATTTCCTGCCAAAAGGTGAGCATAAATATTAATGCAATACTTAAATGTAGCGATCAATTTTGAGTTCTTCTGTAGTTTATTGTTGCCTACTGCATACGGCAGCAGTATGTCTCACAAAAAGAAATGTCCGACAACAGAAGACCAGATTGCAATTAAAAGAGCCAAAGTTGCAGCGAGGAAAAGGAAGTCCATTGCATATGAAAACCCAAATCAAACGGTAGCCAGGAAAAGACTTAGGGACTTAAATGCCGCTCGTAGTGCGGTTTTTAAGCTAGTAAGTAAATAAATGCAAGTGCCTTTTTTGTTAAACATACTAGACACTTTCTCGTGGCTCATATGTTCTGAAAATAATATTTTCAGCACCCCTCTGTAGAATAACATGCCTGTTGCCTCAAGTCTCCTATTCATCTGCAAGGAAATTGTTCCACATGAATTGATATGTAAAAGAATTGATATTATATAGCAGTTCAGCACTCTTCTCTTGATTACTACGGGAATTTTCGTATGTCTTCATACTTTGCTTAGCTTTGTAAACACCGTTTCGTACACGATAACTGAAATTAAGCAACGTAAAGCCTAGTTAAGCAACGTTAAGCTTGGACGTGAGGGTGATGAAATGAAATTTAAGTTAATCAGAGGGGCGCGTTCTAATTTTCTTTGTGTTCCTTATATTCACTTACGCCCAAATAGCTCGGGAAAATGTATGGATCCACTTCTCCCCCCAGCTATGGGTTAATTACTAAGGCTTGTATCGATAAACCATTATTATCGCCACAAAAACAATTAGCGTTAAATGACCTGTAAAAGGTCGATAAGCCATAAAAAACAATCAATCAATTTCTAAACTCGCTTCTGTAGCTATTAACAATGTTTGTACCCCGATTATCCCTCTCAGACCTTTTTCCTGGGTATGACGATAAACTACATCCGGAAGCAAAGCCTCTGGTTGAGAGGTTTTGAGGAGAATTGAACCGCCTCTTAATTGCTGTTGTTCCCAGGTTTTTCTTGACCGGGGGTCGTAGCACCTGCTAGGGTCTTAGCTAAGGGCAAATAGTTAACCCCCAAACTGGGATCAAAATATGAAAATATATAAATGCACTAGAAAAAAATTATCAGCAATATATTTCCACAGCAAAAGAATAAAAAAAAAAATTTCCAGCAATACATTACTGGAAAAAATGCCAACGGTCATAAGAAAATAAAATTTCGGTATTAGATGACCCATAAGGTGTTGATATGCCGTTAATCAAAAAAAAAAAAATGAAAATCTCAGGCCCTGAATCCCTGTTCTCCTACACATTGAAATAAATTTAGGTAGGTTATCCACTCTTTTCCTTCGTCCATCTTGTCCTCAATATGTCCCTGAGTGTCAAAGTTTTCCAAACACTCTTTCTTTATTAGGCATCCCAGAAATGTCGTCTGTTTCTTTCTCATTCTAAGTGTCATTTGTTTCCATTTTACTTAAAGAATCCCTTGTTGTTTCCATGTTACGTCTATAATATTTTCAGTATCCTTCTGTAGAATTACATCTCCATTGCCTCGTCTTTGAGATCGCCCAGTCTTTACTGCCATGTAGGAAAATAAATATTATATAGCAGTTCAGTAGTCTTTTCTTTATTTCTAACGAAATTTTCTTGTTTCTTAATACTATGCTTAGCTTCCGTATTTTCAAAATATCTTTAAAATATATTTGATATGTTTGCCTCAGTATATCCGATGGTTGGGGACTAAAATGCTCTCGGTTAGACGAAGAAGGGATTTGACAGAGTGGATAGGGTCGAGCACTTTTCGGTACCGCTTAGAAAGAAAGAAAGAAAGAAAGAAAGAAAGAAAGAAAGAAAGAAAGAAAGAAAGAAAGAATAGTTGAGATTTGAATAATAATTAAGAAAATAAAAAACTGAAAAATAAAAAAGTAGAAAAAAAAAAAAAGCAATAAATATAAGAAAGAAAGAAAGAAAGAAAAAGAAAAAGAGAGAAAGAAAAAGGAATAAAGAAAAAGAAGAATAAAATCGTTAAAAAAAAACTGAGAATTAAGAAAATGAGAAACTGAAAAATAAAAAAGGAAGGAAAAAATTTCGGAATAAATATAAGAAAGAAAGAAAGAAAGTAAGAAAGAAAGAAAGAAAGAAAGAATGAAAGAAGCGTTGAAAATTGACTAAGAATTAAGAAAATAAGAAACTGAAAGAAAAAAGTAGGAAAAATATCCGGGATAAATAAAAGAAAGAAAGAAAGAGAAAATCACTGAAAATTGATTAAGAAACTGAAAAATAAACAAGGAAAAACATTTCGAAATATATAAAAGAAAGAAAGAAAGAAAGAAAGAAAGAAAGAAAGAAAGAAAAAGTCGTTGAAAATTGACTAAGAATTAAGAAAATAAGAAAAGAAAAAAGAAAACATTTTGGAATAAAACAGATATAGAAAAAATGAAAGAAAGAAAAAATCGTTTCGAATTAACTAAGAATGAAAAGTGGAATTCAAAAAAGAAAAAAAAAACAATTTCTTAATGAAAATGATGATTGAATCGAGAAAAGAGGAAGGACTAAAAAAGAAATGAAAAACATTTCTGAAAGAAAGAAGAAAGAGAGAAGGAAAACTAACGAAAAAAAGAATAAGAAAATTTTAAGAAATAAAAAGGAAAAATATAGAAAGGAAAAAAACAGGTAAGAAAGAGAATAATAATAATACAATTTGAAAAAAATTGATCAGAAGAAAAATACGGAGAAGAAAATGAAAATGATAGAAATTAAAAAAGGAAGAAGAAAGATGGCGGATTGAACGGGGGAAAAGTACGAAAACATAAGCCGGGAAAATTAATAAGAACTGAGACTAGCAAGTAAAATACATCGTTGAAAAAAGCAAACACACCCAATGTGCCCACCCTTTGCCCTCTTCCCGGAAGAAAAGCGGCAGACAAACAGACATCAAAAAAGTAACGAAGTATCCCTCTTAATCACTGCTCAATCAAGAAATATACGCAAACGAGACATATTATAGGACATCGCATAAAAGGTCGCGTAGAGATAGGCTTACACATACAATTAAAGAGATAGGAGCCATTGTTGCAAAAAGACGGTTAGAAAAAAAAAGGTGGGCTGGCAGATATGTTAGTGGCCTATTTTATTTTGATTAATTCTTCTTCATTTGCAATTAGGGGCCCATAATATTGATAGGGCCAAACCCTATTAGGTGGAGGAGGGTTAGGGTTAGGTGAGAAACGAAACTGATTGTCACAGTTATGGTGTCGGCGGAGGATATCGCAGGCGGAGAGATTTTTTTTAAATAGAAAAGAATTTTTAATGATACCTTTGAAGAAAGAAAAAGAAGAAGAAAAGAAAAAAAAGAAAGAAGAAGAAGAAGAAGAAGAAAAGAAAGAAGAAAAAAAGAAAGAAAGAAAAGAATAAGAAGAAAAGAACAAGAAATGAAGAAAGAAAAAAGAAGAAGAAAAGAAAAAAAAGAAAAAGAAAACAAGAAAAAAGAAGAAAAGAAAGAAAAAAAAAGAAAAAAAAAAAAAAGAAATTTAAAGAAAGAAAAAAAAAAAAAAAGAAAAGAAAGAAAAAGAAGAAGAAAAGGAAAAGAAGAATTTTGAAAAAAAAAAAAAAAAAAAAAACAAAAAAAAAAAAAAAAAAAAAAAGAGAAAAAATCTGTCTATTCAAGAAGAAAAAAAAGAAAAAGATCAATGTATAAAAAAATTTAAGAAAAAAAGAAAAAAAAAAAGCAATACATTTAAAGAAAACAAAAAAGAATTTTTAAAAGGAAAAAAAAAAAAAAAAGAAAAAAAAAAACAAAATAAGAAAAAAAAAGAAAAAAAACCGTCTCTTATAAATAAAATAAAAAAAAAAAAAAAAAAAATTAAAGAAAATAGAAAAAAAAAAAAAGGAAAAAAAATTTTATTAAAAAAAATGAGAAGAAAAAAAATTAGAAAAAAAAAATTAAATGTAAAAAATTAAAAAAAAAAAAAATTAAAAATATTTTTTTAAATAAGAAAAAAAAAGAAAAAATAAAAATAGAAAAAAAAAAAAAAAAAAGAAATGCAGTGTTTAAAAGAGGAAAAAGAAAAAAAAAAAAAAAATTTTTAAAATTCAAAAAAAAAAAAAAAATTAAAAAGTTTATTTTTAAAAAAAAAAAAAAAAAAAAAATTCTTTTAAAAATTTAAAAAAAAAAATTTCAAAAAAGATTAAATATGAAAAAAAAAAGGATAGAAAAAAAAAAAAAAAAGGAAAGTTTGAAAAAATCAAAAAAGAAAAGAAGAAAAAAAAAAAAAAAAAGAATTCTCGACGGAAAAAAATTTTATAAGAAAAACAAAGAAATAAGAAAGGCAAAATTTTACTGTAAAAAAAAATAGAAAAAAATAAAAAAAAAATAAGAGAAAAAAGAAAGAAGAAAAAGTTTTAAAAGAATTAAAAATATTTTTAAAAAAAAAAATAAATAAATTTCTATAAAAAATAAAAAAAAAAAAAAACATATAAATAAATTTAAAGAATAATTTAAAAGGGAAACCAAATAAATATATAAAAAATAAATAAAAAGATAAAATATGATAAATTTTAAATTAAATTTATGAAAAATTAATGGCAATTTTTTATAATAGAATGAAATAAGATGAATAAAAATGAATTATGAAATCTAACGAAAAAAAAAAAAAAAGTAAAAATTAAAAAGTTTTTTTCAAGGAAAAAAATTTATGTTTTTTAAAAAAATTTTATGTAAAATTAAAAATAATGTCGTTTTTAAACATAAAAAAATGAAAATCAAAAAAATTATTACAAATTTTTTGCACCAAAAATTAATATTTTTACTCTAAATTGATTTTATTTATGTTTTGCTTATAAACATTTTTTTCAAAGAAGAAATTTAAACAAACCAAAAAATAATTTTAATTATATAAAAAAAATGAATACAATAAAAATTAAAAAAATAAAAATTACCAATTAAATGATAAACTTTTTTTTTTTTTCTGATGCATACCTTTCCAAAAATATTTCAAATAAATAACTATGACAAAAAAAAATCCGAAAATTAACCTCAAAAATCAAAGTTTACCAGGAGCGAACCAATTTTAATTAAAAAGTTCCAAACACATTATGTATCCGTGGTGGTAAAACCCTGTCATAAATATTTCTATGGGTAAAAAAGTTAAATAACAAAAAAGGGTTCAAAAAACTGAAAGTATAAAATAAAAATTTGAAGAAAATCAGAAATTGAAAAATTTTTTTATAAAAATTTTACCAAAATAATTTTTTAAAAAAAAAAATACCAGATAAATACATTTTTTGAAAAAAATATATTATTTAATTTTAAATCTTGTCGGCATTAAATATAATATATAAATAAAATAAACCGCAAAAACAAAACAAAAATTAACAAATGAAACATTTGCTGTAAGGAATGAAAAAAATAAAAAATTCAAAAAAATTTATTCTTTCCATTTCAAATAAAAATAAAATTTCCATTTTAAATTTTAAATTTTTTAATTGAAATTCTTGTTTTGTTTCCAATAAAATTCTAATTTATTTTATATTTGACCAGGCTTGAAAAAATTGATATTAAAAAATGTTTATTTAATTTGATATGACCATGAAAATCAATATATTAAACCATTGAAAAAATTTACATGAAAAAAAAGTAATTAAAAAAAAAAAATAGCATTTTAAAAAAAGTTAAAAATAAAACAAAAACAAATTTTTTGAATTTATTTTCCGTTTGAATTTTATAAAAATCAAATTATTTGAAAAAAAAATGGAATCAAATTTCTGATTTTTAAATTTTTGGAGACGTTTTATTTAAAGAAATTGACGAAAATCCAAAAAGATATTCATAAAATATTCCAAATTTCAAGAAAAAATCTTTTTTTGCATCATCTAATGTTTAAAATCGTTGATGGAAAAAAATTTCAACATTTCAAATTGATTAAAACATTTTTCCATTTTTTTTTCAAATGAGAAGAAAAATAAAATAAACAAATTTAATGATAAGGGACGAGAAGGAAAAAATGCCAAAAAAATGAAAATATGAAAAAGTTTTTTTCAAAAAAAATCGTTTAAAAATAAATATATATAAAAGATGTATAAAAGAAAAATAAATTTTTTATTTTTTATAAAAAAATTTTTTAAAAAAACGGTATTTGTTCAAAATACTTTTTTTCCGAAAATTTATTGGGATGGCTTAAAAATCGCATTCAAAATTTTTAAATTTAAAAACATAAATTAAGAGACATTTAAGATTTGTTTGGTAATTTGTTTGAAAATATTGAAATGATATGATATCTGTTTTTTTTATAAAAAATTTTTAAAATTTTTTAAAACTCGAAGCCCCTCAAAGAATCTTTGAAAAATAAAAAAATTTTTCAAAACAACGTATGTATGGTTCTAATTTTGCTTAGGATATCAAATCATTGCGTTTCTTTTAATGAGGTTTTTGAAAATAATTATGTACAAATGAATTAAATTTATAAAATTAAATCATGAAGAAGGCAATAAAAATTTTTTTCAAAATTTAAAAAAAAAAATAAATGGAAATAGAAAATATGAAAGAATATTATTTTTTTCAAACAAGAGAAAAAAAAAAAAAACAAAAAAAATTTCTTAAAAATTCTTGAATGAAAAATTATCATATTATTATGTTTAAGAAAAAGGAACATGACAAAAATTAAAAACAAAAAAAATTAACAATTTTTTTTATAATGTTTTTTTGAAAAGTATTTTTTTTTTTTACGTGAATTTCTGGGACACGGTTAATAAAAAGAAGAAACGAAAATCTATCTATTTCTCTGAGATGAATTTTATTTTACTAATTTATTTATTCCGAAAATTATCCAAATGAAAATTGAAATGATTAAATCATTCAAAATAAAAAAAAAAAGAATGAATAATATCTTAAAATTGAATGGAAAAAAATCCGAAAGATTAATTAACAAAAAATGAAAAAATAATAAGTGATAAAGCTTCATGTAATTATTAAAAATATTTTTTGAAAGTTGTAATCGACATTTAAAAGAAATTTATCTTATTTAAAATGAATGTGGAAAAATTTTTTTTTTTTAATGTTGTTGTTAATTTTTCAAATGAAACATCTGGAAAATCCAAAGTAAATTTTTTTTTTTTATTAATCACAAATATCTAGTTGTTACAGTCCCTAAAAGAAAATTTACTATAAACAGTTAATGCAAATAAATAAAAAAAAATAAATAATAATAAAATCACCTACTTTAATGGATGATCTCAAACTCTTTGCCAAAGACGACAATGAGTTGAAAGGCCTCCTCAATATTGTAAAATACTTCAGTGACGACATAGGTATGGACTTCGGATTAGATAAATGTGCAAAAGTAACATTCAAGAAAGGTAGAATTACAGAAACACCCTTAATAGATTTAGATTTTGTCACAAAGATTAGGGAACTGGAGCATGATGAAGCTTATAAGTACCTAAGAATTAGCGAAGGAGATGGCATACAAAACCCCAAATGAAGGAAAAAAAAAAAAAAAAATTACTACAGGCGTGTACGTCTGGTACTAAATACTGAGCTAAACTCAAAAAAACAGAATATCAGCCATAAACACATTGGCTGTCCCTGTGGTGCAATACAGCTTTAATGTCCTTAACTGGACCATAGCTGAAATTAAGCGAATGGACGCCAAAACGAGAAAGCTTCTCACTTTGCTATCGCATGCATCATCCCAAAGCTGATGTTGATCGTCTGTATGTGCCCAGATCCGAAGGAGGCAGAGGATTAGTTCAACTAGAACTGTCCTACAAAACTACAAACAATTGGCCTCCAAAGATATTTGGAAACTACAGAAGACTGGATGATGGTATGCGTCAAAGAACATGAAAGTAGTAAGCGTCTTTATTCCGTAATGAAAAAAGCCAACAAATTCAAAATGGAGTTTCAAATGGGCGTAGAGAATGCAACTACAGCACAATACACCGATCGAAACTGCAAAAATACTTAAAAAAAAAAAAAAAGACAAATGCAACCGACCAGATACAGAAAATTTATGGCAAGATAAACCGCTTCATGGCCAATACTCTGCCCGTACCAAACAAGCTGATGTAGACAAAACCCGTACCCATCAGTGGCTACGTAGTGCAGGGTTGAAAGCTGAAACTGAAGGTTTTATCCTTGCTGCACAGGACCAATGCTTGCTAACTAGGAATTATCAAGCACATATACTAAAAATATTGTGTCAGCCCAAAATGCAGATTCTGTGATAAAATATCCAGAAACGATTGATCATCTTGTATCAGGTTGCACGATGTTGGCACCCACTGAATATAAAACCCGACATGACAGAGTGGGCCAATATCTGCACTGGAAAATCTGCAACTTCTACGGGAGGAAAACTGAAAGAAACTGGTATGAACACCACCCAGACCCGGTTACGGAGATAGGACCTGTTACAATTCTATGGGACTACATAATACACATGGACAGAACAATCAAAGCCAACCGCCCAGATATTGTTATTAAAGACCACAAACAAAAAAAAAAGTGCCTCCTTATTGATATGGCAGTCCCTGCTGACTGCAATGTATCTTTGAAGATATTCAAACAGCTGTCAAAATACAAGGACCTTGAAATAGTGATCTCGAAAATGTGGTATATGGGAACATCAACAATCCCTGTTGTAGTTGGAGCCCTAGGAC